ACTTTCGCAAGTTGAGTTTTTTAGGTCACAAGTTAGTGGACTAGAATTGGTCTCATATTAACCTGATGAGTTTTCTAGGTTATTTACCATGTTAGCCTAGAAAACTCAACTTGTAATACTCACTATATCAGGACATTTCTACGAGACACAAGCTGGGCCTAGAAAACTCAACTTGCTAAAGTTATGGCAGTCGTGGATGAAAGAATCACTATCCGTATATATCATATAAATTTAAAATGTTTCATATCAAAACTACATTTGACATATGAAACTTCACAGAATATGCTACACCAACCCCTTCATAATACTCACCTTCTTCGCTGGTTCCTTTCTCAGAAACTGAACATCATCGGTCATCCAAAGCGAAAGCCGATGATTGCTCGGCATTGCTGGCTTTTCTTCCCACTGAAAAATCAAAAGTCAGCGACAACAAGTACATTGATCGTCATATTAAACCGGATAAAGAAGCGGGAAAAAAGGTAAATCAAATTTTGAATCAAGTTCAAAATGTACTGAACACACTCGAGTTTTTAAAGACAATGATGCGAGAAAAGGGGATTGAAGATTGGATTAGATTATCATGTCAAGAAAATAAGAGGAAGAAAAAGATTGAGCTGATGAAGAGGTGTGTATGTCTCTTGGAAAATGGCACAGGCAGATTTTGTCTTCTAGCAACCAGCGGATTTGCGACTCACTGGATAAGAAACTGATAAGAAACGTCATTTTTAATGATCGGAACAGATCAGAGAGCCGTGCTTGTCCACTATAGGAAACACTGAAACTCCAATTTCTACACACTTTTTCTCCTACAAAAGCCTGTGGATTTTGTTTGAGCTTTTGAAGGTGTTGTAAAAAAAGGAAAGGATGAGCTTCTGAAAAAAAAGGAGGAGCAGTTGAAAGTCGAGAAAATCGCTATTTTCGTTTGCGTGATATGAGAAGTATGAGGCGTTGTTTGTTGAGGAAAAGAAGGATAATAGACCAACGGAAATTATAGGTTGTTATGGGACAAATAGAGGTGTCTTGATGATGGCGAGCAGAGTTACGGTAGTTGTTTATGAGCAATGTGCAATCCGAATGTTGGTGATTACAGAACCACGCTGTGTCAGGAAGCCTGGTGGAAAAACGCGCCCCAGCGAACCACAAAGTCTCGCTGAATTCGCTTCCGAGTCTCGCTGGCTGAGGATCAAAGTTTTAAACGATGAGCCAAAAGAGCGCGCATTGACTTTATCTATTGATAATAAATAGATCAAATCTGCGCCCACTTCAAAATTATAAAATTTCTTATGGCCTACGAGTTCGCCGGGGCGCGTTTTCCGGCCAGGCTTCCTGACACCCGCGCAGAACAATTGAAAATAAAACGAAGCTTGTACGTTCAAAACAACATAGTAATTTCGAAAAACTGTAAAGTTTATTGTAAACTCTCTATAAAAGCCCACTCTATACATACATTTTGAGATCAATTATCTCGGTTACCATGAAAGGTATCAAACATTTTAAACTTATAAAATGTTGCTGATGTTTTGATAAGCATTTTATTTGTTTACTACCTTCCGATATTTTCTAAAAGAACTGAGATAATTGCGCTCAAAGTTGCCAGTGTGGGCCCTTTTAATACAGGTTTTTACTCGGTTCCTGTAGAAGGTATAAAAAATGTGTCAACTAATAAAATATTGATGATATCATGATAAACATTTAATGAGTTGATCATTTTTTTATACCTCTCAAAAGACCTACAGTACTGGCCAAAAAGAAATTCGGAAACAGTTTTTTGGCTCTAACTTTCTTGAAAACAGAGCTGAAGATTCATTCTTATTTGTAAAATGTAGCGAATAACCCGGGTAAAATGATACAAAAGCATTTTGATCTTGAAAAAGAAAATAAAAAATTTTAGAAAAAAAATTCACATTTGGAAAATTTAGGATTTTTGGAAATTTTTTTCAAACATCTGGAAAAATAGAAAAACGATCGTGAATGAGAAATATACTTTTTGATCATAATCAAAGAGTTTTTGGCCAACTTTTTAACATGTAAAACCTCATAGAGATACAATTCTACTTATGAGAATTCAAAGTGCCAACTAGAGATTTTGGGTTTTTTTTTAGCTTTCTCTACTATCGTCTTGCAGTTCCAAATGAACAATTTTAGTACTTTTTTATTTTTTCATACTTTTTCAGATGTGATTCTACAATGATCAATCATTTCTCACTCTAAAGGGCGTCTCTCTGAGCTCCGAGCACTGATTTTATGAGGTGTGAGCCAAGCTAAAAGCAGCATGAGGTCAACTTTTAGTCATTCTGGTACAGTCGGTCGAGGGAATTTTATATTATATTTGCTAGATATCAATATCACAGTTCTGTTAAATTCTAAAAAATATAATTTCGTGTTGCGGAATGCCTACGGAAACACTATAAAACGTTTCAAAATGGATTCTATTGAGTAAGAAGTTGATCAAATAGGGTACTGATTATTATTCAGTTCTTGAGTGCTCCATTCATCAATTTTTACGATTTATTTATGGAAAGTAGTGGTTGTGTGATTATTTAAGGACGATTAACATAAAATCCCATCCATCTCAAGGACAAATTATCAATCTGTCCCTACAAAGGAATATTATAACTTGAACTCCATTAGAAAACTGATCAGAAAAGTCATGCATGGGCACATCGCAACACGAAATTATGTTTTTAGGATCTAACAGAACAGTAATATTGATATCTAGCAAATATAATACAAAATTCCCGCAGCCGACTGTACCAGAATGACTAAAAGAAGACCTTATGCTGCTTTTAGCTTGGCTCACAACTCATAAAATCAGTGTTCGGAGCTGAGAGAGACGCCTTTTAGAGTGGGAATTGACTGATCATTGTAGAATCACATCTGAAAAATGATAAAAAAATAAAAAAGTGCTAAAATTGTTCATTTGGAACTGCAAGACGATAGTAGAGAAAGCTGTAAAAAACCCAAAATCTCTAGTTGGCACTTTGAATTCTCATACCATAAACAGAATTGTATCTCCATGAGGTTTTACATGTTAAAAATTGGCCAAAGACTCTTTGATCATGATCAAAAAGTATATTTCCCATTCACGATCGTTTTTCTATTTTTCCAGATTTTTGAAAAAAATTTCCAAAAATCCGAAATTTTCCAAAATGAAAATTTTTTCTAAAATTTTTTTATTTTCTTTTTCAAGATCAAAATGTTTTTGTATCATTTTTCCCAGGTTATTCGCTACATTTTACAAAAAAGATTGACTCTTCAGCTCTATTTTCAAGAAAGTTAGAGCCAAAAAACTGTTTGCGAATTTCTTTTGGCCAGTACTGTAGATAATTGGCTCAAAGTTAAAGTTAAAGGAGGTATCAGTCTGATATTATAGAGTGTTAACGATATACAAAAAATATTGGAAATTCACAAATCAATTCACGAAATTTATGCAGAAAAAATATCACAAAATGAGAATTATAATTAGATCAAATCGACAAGTAAATTGAAGAAGCCGAACGTTATACTCAACTTTCAGGCTCTCGATTTACGCACTCAAAAGACTTTTCCTGCTCAGGAAACCACTTCGAACTCTCCGATGTTCGCATTTCTCTTCTCAGAATGACGTGCTTTAGAAGAGGTGAGAAGACCTATAATTTTTTTTCTTTCAAATTTCTTCGGAAATGTCTCTTGAATTGAGAAGCCATATATTTCTCTCTAATTCACTAGAAGAGAACTGTGGTTCCCCGCCTTTCATTTTCTTTTCAATGTCAGACTTTAAAAAACGGATTAGTTTTGTTGAATAAGAAGGTTACATAAACTTTGTTCATCCAAATATGACAAAGAATCTGATATCTACTGAAACTGCAACATAACAAAAGAGAAGGTGAAGCTTATAACAAAAAACTATTGGGAAAGAAGAAGGGATCAAACGAAGAAGAGACTTATTGGATTATGTTGGGAAAATGAAAGGAAAACTGGTACAGGGAGAAGAAGCTTCAGGTGCTATAAATAAGAGATTGGATTGTATTGGAAAGTATATGTTCTCGTAGTTTTATTTATTTTTTTCACTATTTTGACATTTCCATAGTAACATGTTTGCAGATGCGCTAGGCATTCATTCGGTTGAAATCTGAAAACTCATTATTTTCTGTTCTTGTGTTTTCTTCTTGAGTTTTTTTCGAAGTTTTTTTTTAACCCCATTGTTTGGAAACCATACTTTGCGCCTCCGTATATACAGTTCTGGTCATAAATCAATTGAAAAACGTGGTTTTCAGTTGATTTTGTCCATTTTCAAGAGTCTAGAGCTCAGCTGTCAAGTGTCTAATCACCTTGAAAATTTTGGAGGATGTAAAACACACCTAGGTTAAAAACTTCGCATTTATAAAAGTTTTCGAAATTTCCTAGTTTTTCAGTTATTTACCGATTTCTGAAGGACGCATGTTTCTTTCTGTAAAAATAGGGACAAAAGATGTCCTTCAGAAATCAGCAAATAAGTGAAAAACCAGGAATTTTCAAAAATGCTATGAACGCAAAGTTTTCAATCTAGGTCTGTTTTATACCTTCAAAATTTTCAAAGTGATCCGACGCTTGAGAGCCGAGCTCCAGACTCCTGAAAATTGTATAGCTCAGCTGGTAACGGTGCGGCACATTCAATACTTTTCCCACAAGTTCAATTCCTCGAGGGGTTCATAAACACGGAATACCGAGAAAAATATTATTTCATGTCCCGATATCTTTAATGAAATTTTTATCATTATCTTCTTCTCGTTTCCTTCTTTTACTCGAATGATTCTCTTGAGGAATCAATTTCAGTTGTTATCCTTTTCCTCAAATCATCTGTAATCTCCCTTCTCAATTTCTTATTCAGATCTCAGAAAAGAAAGCAAATCCCCCTCCCTTCTAGCTCATCTCCTGCAACGTCAACTTTTTTCATTTCCGCCTTTCTTTTTTTGTTACATGAAACCAGAAAAAAAAACTCAGAAAAAAACAAGCTTTCCTTCATTTTTTTTTTCAGAAAAATGAGCCAACCGAACCGTCTTGCTCTTCTCCTTTCCCTTATCCTGATTGGAGAATCCGTTGCCAACGACTATGATTCTCCTCCACGCCAATCAACTGTGACATCTTCACCTGTTCATATTTCGGAACGCAACTATCAACATCAGCAACAAAACCAACCATCAGTGCTCACTCAATCCTACCAAGTGCTTCCGGAGTCTAGAAACTACTACCAATATCCACAGTATCTGCCAACGCACGCTGGATATTCCAACATTCAAACTATCGGACAACCCTATCAGATGTATGGATCTTCTTCTGGAAGCTCTAGCGCTGTCTCCGGTGGAAACTCCGAAAGCTACGGAAACTCTGCTCAATCCCCAATCCCCACCCTTGCTCCTGCCCCAGTCACTGTTTCAGAACGTCATCGTACCTACACTCCCTCCCCAACCCCACCATCCCCATTCTCTGACAATCGTGGTGAAACCCAACGTGGTCGTGCTCCAGGACATCAGGCTCCATCTTCTTCCTCTCAGAACCAAGGCCGTCGATTCCCAGCCCCACCACCATCATCCTCCTTCATGATCGCCCCTAAACCAGTTCTCTCGTACGGAGCAGCCAATCCATTCCTTGCCAACTTGCCCCCAGCCCAAGGAGTTTATGGAGCCCCAGTCGACGCTTCCCACCGAGGTGACGCGATTCGAGCCTTCCATGAACTCAATCCAGAGATTACAGGTTATGACGGATCGTCAGGAGCCGCACCCGCTCCACCACCAGGATCCTCAGCTTCTGTTGATGACACTTGGGAGGCTCTCGAGGCATCGCTCGATGCCAACACCAGAAGACGTCACCGTATCTTCTAAAATCTCCCTGAATTTGATTTTTCTTTTCTGTAAAAAAGTTCTTCTCGATGTCAGTAAAACTTTATCCTGAAACTAAGTTCTATATCTAGAAAACTTCTAACGAAATACACCCAACAAAAAAACTAATAACAATACAACACAGCTGCTGAAAATAAAGCAATAAATAACATAAAGTGGAAAAATAATACGTATCTATAAGAAAAGAGAAGAAGATTGAGATGGGAATGTAGAACCCGTAGATGTAAAAGTCTGTCATCCGGGGAAAATGTTAAGCGGGTAGAAGTTCATTGCTCATCCTCGTCTGAACGGCTTCCAACCTATTGCGCATCACAATCCAAACGTCTTCAGTCATCTCTTCGAGAGAGCGATAACAGACTCGTTGTGTGTTGAAAACGTCGAGAACAAACTGCACAACTTGTTCCTGAAAGAAAATTTTTATCATTAAAATCCAGCAAAAGAAATCGTTTTACCTTAAAATATTGGCAAAGCTCTCCGAGTCGCTCATCTGTTCCCAAAAATCCAAGTGTGATCGCAGGCATAACGGTTTCCGATATATTATAGAACTTCGCAATGAAACCATCGGGATTCTTCAGTCGTTGGCGTTTTGATTTGATAATTGACCAGATGATGGTGTTGAGTGTAGAATACTTCATTGACATCGACATGAAATAGTTTTTGGTAACCGAATAAACAGCTGATGGCGGTGATTTCAAGTCTTCGAATGCGTCCAAAATGATAAAATCGACGGCAACATCGTAGAATCCTGTCTCGCATACTCCTCTTCCTTCAACGTCTTGTCTAAGTTGCTCTTGATTTCTGTCATTCGACACATACTCCAACATTTCATCGTAGGCGTTAAAGAATTTCACGGGGTCTTGTTTGGTGTGACGGATGAAATCTGCGAGAAGAGTACGACCACACTTTGCAAGCCACACGCGTTTGTGTTCATCTTTCAGTGCATTCTGAAAATAGGGAAGTTATTTTTTACCAATTGATGAAATATCACTTACTGTTAAGGCATGTCTAACACAGTAGAGTTTCGCAGCGAAATCAGTCTCACTTTCGCAATTACAGAAATCCATTCGACTTTTACGATATTTGACTTCTCCATTCATCGCAGCTCTCATTCCCTCATCCAGGAATTTCAATTCTTCTTTCTCTAAATTCGCTGCTTCACTGACAAAATCAATATCATCGATATCAACAGCGAATTCTTCCACTGCTGATTGGAATGAATCATCGGAAAGTACAGAAAGAGTTCTTGATCTGCCAGTCCTAACACTTCCAGCGTATCCGGTTCCACCACTCACGGAATAGAATTCAGTGTCTGAAGAGAATAATTTTAATTATTTTACTTTAAAAAATAAGAATCTTACTGTCATCTCTGAAATCTTCCATATGAGGTATGAGCATCGTAATTTCATCTTCTACCTGCTTCAATCCTTTTAGAATTCCTTCAATTTTAATCGACCTCTCCATGTCTTTACTACTCCTGTTCTTGACCATTTCCAGATTATGATGTACTCTTTCTATAGTTTTTCGAAGGTCTGTACACATCTCTTGACCGTTTGTGATGTCTGCTTCTATCGGATTCATACTCAGACTTCGCTGCGAGTTTTGACGCACACTATTTCTTAGACTTCTTTCTCCTTGCGATGATGACGGTCGCATTCCGCGGCCACTGTGACTTCTTCGAAGCGATGGTGCTGGTTGTGAAGGGTTTGTGTCGACTTCTTTAGGAACTTCATCGATAAATGCAGATAGGGGTATTCTCGATTCTCTTCTTTGTTTCCAGCTATAAAAATGAGTGTTTTCTTCCCACATATTCAGAAAACAATAAATTAACTATTTTCTAACTTACTATCGAACGAAATTGGCAAAAACAATTCCTATGCCTATTCCTGCTGCTACTGATAAAACTGTTCTCTTTGTGACAATATCGTTGATTTTCAAACCAACCTGAAATATATAATATCGATTTTAGGAATCGAAAGACATATTGAGAATACTTACCGGAAGCCCTTGCATCAAATGTGACGTCATTCTATTCGATTTTCAAGCAACTGTCATAAGAACAGCAAGAATCAATCATTAATTTTTTATCAGTGCTGAAAAATGTGGGAAATTCAGGTCGATTTACGCTAAACCCCGCGCACTAGCGGAACAGCGGAGCGTCGTTGCAAAATAATTTTTCTATATTTTCGGTGAACATTTCAACGGAAAGAGCTGAAGTGGATGCGAAGCAATAATTTTTATAAATAGAACAAAAATTATTTAGTTCAAGAAAATTTATTAAACAAAAAAGTCAGCTCAAAAACAAATCAGCACACTCCCTGTCTGCGACATTGACAAGGAACGCTCGAATAAAACGATCGTTAACAAATATTGGTTTCATCACGATGCATCGTTTATCTTCCAAAATCTTCCAAACAAAATCATAAAACTTTTTGATTTCTTCCAGTTTATTCATATACATATCCACATTGATTTGGCATACTTTAACTCGTTTTCGGTCTAGGGGTCCGTCACTATGTAATCGGTTCAGTATTCGGTATTCATGGCCTTTTAAATCAACCCAAAGAAAATCGATTTTCTTTTGACGAATTTTATAAGCCAGGAAAACAGCGGCGTCGTTGTTACTGCTGTCATAGTGGAAGAACTTTCCACCCAGGTCCTTTTCGTAAACATTTCGATTGATATAGGAACTGGGATCTGCTCCATAGAATTTGATTCTTGTATACATCTGAACTAAAACAAAGTTTCCGGAAAGAAAATCACACCAACCTCTTTCAATTGCATTTCTGCACTCACATCATGTCCAATACCTAGAGTTACCATTACCAGATCTTCATCCTAAACGGAAAAAGTAAAGCAAGAACTATAACTACCGTAAAACCTCTAATAGAACGACACCCGGATCGTCCACTTTGAGCCTATATATCTCACTTCTTTTAGAA